CTCAAACAAATGTATTTTGTTGATGACGTCATTCTTGTCTTTGTTTATTTGAGATTATCTCACTTATCAGTGATCGATCTTCTCCCAGATTTTGTTATGTTGTAGCTGAGATAATTCTCTATCAGAAATATGCCATTTATTTTTCATTTAGATGACGTCATCATAGTTAAATATTCGATTAAAGGTGACAATGCATAATTTGTCATATTTACGTGTTATGTCTATGGGAGGTCACTTTTTTCAAAACATGAATCTGCATGACAAGGTGTTTTAACCAGGATCTCGATTGTTATTCAATAGTTTTCTCCCAAATTTTAGTATGTTGTAGCTGAGACTATTTGCTATCTAAATATTTCCTCAATTTTTTTAATCAGTTGTCAGGATTATGCTTTTGCTCATCATCATCATTAACTTTGTCGTTTTTATCGTCATACAACATTATCATTATCATCATCATCATCACCTTTACTATCATGATCATCACCATGTTCATCATGATCATCATTGTTTACATGTCTATATAACTTCTCCCATTCTCAAATCTATCATAAAACTTAGACAGACCACCTTATTCGTCTTCGTGACGAATTAAATTCTAGTATTTTAATTGAATTTGTACAAAAACACAATTCAATTAAAATAAATTTGTGACCACTCTTTTGTGTGCACGATTACTCAAAATTGAACCGTCCAATTTCTTTCAAATTTAACACAGTCATAGGTCATCATCTTAAGACGTGACAGGAACATTTTCAAGTTCATCAACATATCGTGACGTCATCCAGGCGCCATTTTGTGAAGTGCTCTGAGAATCAACTCATGATCATATCTTCATAACCGTAAATCATTTCTCATTCATATTTATAACGATTATGGTCAATATCCGTCCGGTCAACTTAAGGTCAATTACCGCGCGCGTACGCGTCCGTCCGCGCGTCGGTGCGCGCAAAAATAAAAAATGCTCATAATCACTTTTTGATCAAATTAGAGTACGTTTTAGGCCATTTCAAGCATTTCGAAAATTTCGAAAATTTTCGCAAGCATAAATTTGCGCGCATGTTTGTGTTCGTAATGGTCGTACGCAACCGAGAATCGCCTTTTTTTTGTCTATCATAGTATTGCCCAATTTATTCCAAACGATTTGATACCATGTTTATCTCTTTATGACCATTAATAACGAAATGAGCGTCCGTTCAAGGTAAAGTCCGTTCGAACCCTCAATTAACTCATGACGTCATCATGATTGCCTCCGTTCAAGGTAAATGTCCGTGCGTGCGAGCTCTTGTAATACATAGCATATATGGGCAAAAACATGCCTATACAAAATCCATTGTAGCTCTTCAGAATAGATAGATACTCCCAATTCTTTTTCATATTTGGATAGATTATGAGTCGGAGATATGATTTCATGTCTCATTTGACACTCAATTAACTCATGACGTCATCATAATGGCCTCCGAACTCAAAATTTCAATTTGCATATTATGACGTCAGCATATTTTTGGAAAATTGATTGTATCTCTGTAAATAATGATCAATTTTCATCCAAATTTTGATATGTTCTAGCTGAGACAAATCTCTACAAATAAAGTCACGACGTATTTTTCATTTTGACAATGGCATCATGGCGTATTTTTGTGATTAAAGGAGGCATGTCAATTTTCACATTTTGCGTGTATTCTCTACGGGACATGACTTTTTCTCAAAACTGGATTCTACATTGTTGTCTTTCGCGAGCAACATCTCCGTCGTTTTTTCTTCGTTTACGCTGAGCTTTGAGTATGTTGTAGCTGAGACAATGAGCTATAATAAGTGTGCCATTTATTTTTCGATCAGATGCCGGTATCATGCTAATATTTCACTTACAAAGTGGGATTTGAGAATTGTATTTTCCGTTTCCGTGTAATCTCTATGGGAAATATTTTGGTATATAGGTAACGCACTTGACTTCCGACCTCGAGGTCCCTGAATCGAGTCCGGGCGTCTCCAACAATTTTTTTTCATCAATTTTTTTACTTTTTGACGTGTCAATGATCATGAAAATTGAAGACAGACCACCTAATTCGTCCCCATGACGAATTAAATTTCTAGTTTTAATTTGGTTTAGTTTGCAAGTAGGAACATCACACAAAGTGTGACAAACTACCTATATTATTGCCCATTTGCTGGTAACGGAATTACACATATACAGATCACCAGGGGCGTACGCAGGGGGGGGGGGGGGGGGGGGGGTTTGGGGGTTCAACCCCCCCCCCCCCTTTGGTATTTGTATGTGTGTAAACCCCCCCAAAAAACTCAAACCCCCCCCCTCTTTGTTTTTTTTTTTTTTTGTTTTTTTTGTTTTTAAATTTAAAAAAAAAAAAAAAAAAAAAAAATTATGCCCACGACTAACGTAAAGTGACCTTACCCCCCCCCCAACGACAAAAAATTTCAAATTTTCAAATTTCAAGACCAAAAAAAAAAAAGTGTCCGCTTATCCCCCTCCCCTCCCCCTCCCCCCCCCCCCCCCCCCCCCCCACTGAGCGACTTTTCGGCCGGCGCGATTTTCAAATTTTCGGGAGCAAAATATCTTGGGCCAGATTTTAAACCCCCCCCCCCTTGAAAAAAATCCTGCGTACGCCCCTGCAGATCACTTTTGTGACCATACATGACAACTGGTTGTGAACTCGCCAAGACCAATTTATAGAAACAGGTTAATAAACTCCACAGTATTCAATAGGAAACTAGATGGAATTTTGACTGCGCGCAGTCGAAAATGATGCCTCCGCCATAGAGCAATTTAAACAAGTTTGGAGTTTAAATCTCCAGTGGTTCTTGAGATATCATGATAACAATCTCAATGTATGAAATTTCATAAGTTGACCTCTGTGACCCTTGACCTTTGACCTACGTGCTCCAAAATCTAATCAGATTGTCTTCCTATGGTGATACACACTATCATTAAGTTTGAAGTTTAAATCTCCAGTGGTTCTTGAGATATTATGATAACAATCTCAATGTATGGAATTTCATAAGTTGACCTCTGTGACCCTTGACCTTTGACCTACGTGCTCCAAAATCTAATCAGATCGTCTTCCTATGGTGATACATACTATCCTTAAGTTTGAAGTTTTTACATCTCCAGTGGTTCTTGAGATATCATGATAACAATCTCAATGTATGGAATTTCATAAGTTGACCTCTATGACCCTTGACCTTTGACCTACGTGCTCCAAAATGTAATCAGATTGTTTTCCTATAGTGATACACACTATCACTAAGTTTGAAGTTTAAATCTCCAGTGGTTCTTGAGATATCATGATAACAATCTCAATGTATGGAATTTCATAAGTTGACCTCTGTGACCCTTGACCTTTGACATACGTGCTCCAAAATCTAATCAGATCGTCTTCCTATGGTGATACATACTATCCTTAAGTTTGAAGTTTAAATCTCAAATGGTTCTTGAGATATCGCGCTAACAAACTCAATACAAGGAATTTCATAAGTTGACCTCTGTGACCTGTGACCTTTGACCTACGTACTCCAAAATCTAATCAGATCGTCTTCCTATGGTGATAAATACTATTCCCGAGTCTTAAGTTTAAATCTTAAATGGTTCTTGAGATATTGTGATAACGGTCAAACGGGACGGACGTACGGACGTACGGACGGACGTACGGACGTACGGACGGACAACCCGAAAACATGATGCCTCCGGCACCACCTTCGGTGGCGGAGGCATAACAAAGGATAATCAATTGTTTTATTGACTATTGTGAGGGCCTATTAACCTAGCAAATACCACATGCAATACATTATTCAAATCTTATTTTATGCAGGTTTGATCAAAATCGATTGAAAATTGAAACGTTACAACCTGTTCGTCGTGGATGGTTACATTTAAGCATTCAAACAATTCCAAAACACTTTAGTGCTACTAATAACACTGCCTACACCCAACACAGGGATCTTGGTGTAAATTAAAAACAAAACACATGAATATTTATTTATAATGATTTCAGTCCATAAAACCAACCACCAAAATCTAAACTAAATTATACAAAGAGTGCTTACATGTAATATAGCTATCATTTTGTCAACAGCGTTTCAATAATATTTCACACCAGAATTTGTAAATCATTCCCCTATCTCATATTTCTTTTGAGCCAATTTTTCAACCTGTTGAGCCAATTTTGCGACATTAATGTAAAGCCTTAGAGGGAGCACTGGTTATCATTCTTTTAAAATTAATTACAAACCTTGTCAGATAATTCCATTCTACAATTTCAATCCACAAAAGCTAGCATCCAATTCAAAATTAATTAATTAAGATAATGTCATCAACAGAGTTGCAATAAAATGTCAAACCTTGTAAATCATTACGCCAATTCACTAAATTGTTATCATTCTTTAATAGTTGGTTATCATTCTTTTAAAATTAATTACACACTTCATCAGTGTTCTTGAATTTGTTACAACATGTAACAAACTTGACCATTGTCATCATTCTTTATTCCAAACAGTTATATTTTTTCTGAGCGCTAGCGATCTAGTCAAAGGCGCCCTGCCACCCACTCCCCTTATGTTTAATACGTAGAGTATGGAAATTAACCGTCTGCAAGAGGGCTAGTCTGCTATGGTCTTAGCCATCTAACTTTTAATGAATTATCACCCAAACATGAATTATTTTCGGATATTTTGGTGTCATATGGAAGTTACGTTCATGAGCTTTCCGTACAAGTATATAAAACTCCCCCCCCCCCAGAATATTTGGCAGCCATTTCAAAAGTGTATAGTTTTTTTTGGGACGCACTGTATACAAAATGTGCGAACATTGCAGCGAACATAAAAAGTAAAGTATCACGACACCCAAAACATGATATCTGTTGGATGTACGATATGATATTGACTTAGCCCTTACATTTTTCTCGAATGTGTTTGCAATTGTGCTAACAGTACTTCGTCAAGCCGATATATCGTTTTGTACACCTCTTTTTCGCGAAGGTACATGTACTTTTCTAAGGTTGTTCCGGTAAATCAGCTTGCACGCCACTATCCCGTTTGCCGTGGTCATTCTCATCTTGAATATTGAATGAAGCAGGATTCACGTAATCCATGGTGTTGACCCCTCCATTCTCTTTAATCTCCTTCTCTTCACGCCCATCCTGGTTAAGAATGTAGACGCCATTTCTACCCGAGCTGGTGTTGTTCTCATCAGATTTCCTGTATGAAAAGAACAAAATCTCAGCATTACAAATATGGTCATATGGGCGATCCGACATTTGCTACTGCAACAATGATTGCTCCTAGCTTTCAAAGGTGAATAGGGTTAGGATTGCAATTTAGGTTTCGGGTTATAGAAGTTCCTCAACAAATTCTATATTCAATACCTTATCCTTTCCAACTGTTTTGAATATTCCTTCATTCCACACTCCATCAATGACTGGAAAATGCCAGCCGATCTCAAAAGTTCCATATACAACAACAGACGCAAACTTTAAGGATCCAACTTCTTCCGAAAAGCAAAATAAGAGCAACGATCGAGGACTAACGAACAAAAATGTGCCCTCCCAATCCCTTCTCGTTTTGTTCCTGAGGGGTACTTAGAGAAGTACCACCAAGAAAGAAAGCTTGTTTGATAGGAGCTATCAAACAAGGTTCAAGCATGGTCAATTATTAAGTCTGCTCTCTTTTCAGTTTCTTGACTGATTCTCTCATTTGTATATGCAGGAATAAAAAATGCAGGACTTATCGATTGGTGTAAAAGTATCTTATATTCTAGAAATAAGCCAAAATTAAAATCCCATCATCTTTTTAAGAGACAGTACACGCGCTACAGTTTTTGCACAGAGAAATGAGAAAGTTCACACACAATTTTGCATTGCCATTGAGAGTGAGTTCAGGGGATGGAGCGAGTGGGGGAGTGGAGGAAGAGGGGGGGGGGGGGGGGCTCCAGGACTTGGTATGATAAGAGGCAGGGGTGGGAGTGGGATGGAGTGGGAGGGAGGAATATGGAGGGAAAAAGAGGGGGTTCGGGTAAGAGGGAATAACACTTTGCAATACCTTCCAAAATTTTCGCTTTCTTCGATTGTCTCGGGGAGCTTGTGGCCCAAAGTTTCGGGGAGGAAGAGAGTCAGTAGGCTAGCGATCACTGAGACGGACCCGTAGATGACGAGGGGTAGTGGAGTCCAAATCTTGGCCAGTATGAGTATGAGGGGCGCCACAATGCCGGCGATTCGTGAAAACATCGAGCAGGTCCCCATTGCCACGCTCCTGTGTTCCCCGAAGAAATAATTTCACGTAAACTGAGTATGACATAAAAAGGCCTTTGGAACAAAAATTGCTCTAATAATGTTTAAGAAAAAAAATAGACATCTTAATGATGAAATTGAAGATACATACATTCATAATTACAAGATTGATAAAGTATACTGCATAAAATTTCTTGGAATTGCTGTAGACGATAGCCTGACTTGGTCTTGTCATATTGATGAAATCATGGGGAAAATACCACGTACCATTGGAGTATTATATATAATGAGGCCTTTCATTCCTCTGAGAATTTTAACCAATTCATATAACACATTGATCTTGCCATATCTTTCTTATTGTAATATAGTATAGGGGAAATGTTCAAATACTTTAATAAATAAGCTATATGTATTACAAAAAGAGCTCTGCGTGTAATGACCAACTCTCATCCCAGGACACCAAGTGACCTTAAAGTCTTAAATATTTTTAACCTTGGTAAATTGCAAACTGCATTATTTATGTACAAGTATTTCAACAACTTGCTACCTGAGGTTTTTAGTAATATTTTCTTGTTAAACTCTGAAATGTATCAGTACAATACCAGATATTGCAATGGACGACGTGTGCAATTGTTAAAGTATAAGTCGTCCCAACAGACGGTCCGTCACTTGGGACCTCAACTATGGAATTCATTACGTGATGACATAAAAAAAAAACAGCCCATCGCTTGCCTCTTTCAAACGCAAATATAAACAATGCCTTTTAATGTGCTAAAATATCTTGATTTAAAAAAAGAATTACTACATTACCTGAAGTATTTATGCTCAAATATTCTTTGTGTATACTTTTCCTTCACACAGACCGCCTGTTTCCCTTTTGTTATGTACTTAATTATGTTTTGTACCTACCTATATATTATTAATTTATTCCTGAAGACCAGCCCTTGATAGGTCAATGGCCTCTATTGGCTCCACCACAGTCTTAAGTATTAGTTCTAGGTGATTTAAATTCTTTGAATATTGTTATGCTATTTTCTTGTTTTGTTTACTTGTGTTAATCAGATATTGTATGTAAATTGTTAAATGCTTTTTTATGAGATGTGGAAATAAATGAAATAAAATGAAGAAAAAAATATACGATGATGAAGTTGAATTTTCTTTTGCAGTCCACCGTAACCAATGTGCCAAATAATATAAACAACTAGTATATTTTCTTATTGTTTGTTTCGCAATTCCATTATGTTTCAGGCAGCCCTTTCAAAACATTATTTCTCTGAGTCGGATGAAAGATTAACTGGACTGATTTGTTCATTGATTCACGTATTTACTTATTGATTGATTGGTTGGTTGATTGATTGGATTATTTATTCCGTCATTCATTTATTAATGAATATATTTATTGGTTTACATATCTATGTTTATTCCTTATTTATTATTATACCTTTACATGTGTTAACAAAATGTGTTGATGACCTTAATTTACAATACCGTGTAAATATACACAAGCTTTACCTGATGTTGGTTGGGTACAGCTCCGCGGTGTACAGATACAGGATTGCGAAAGATGCCGAAATTCCAAATTTACCAATCATTGCAACTGATGTGAGTGCTGCTCCGGGTGCTATGAATATTAAAGAAAGAGAAAAAAGACAGAGATAGATATAAATAAAGAAGATGATGAAAGTGATTGCTAATAGGATTGACAGACTTTTGTCCAAGTTCTGATAAATGGGTAAATAGAAAATTGTTAAATAATGTTGCCTTCTTTCTTGCAGCTGTTTTGTACAAATAGTGCATTGTTACGGGGGAGGTGCATGTACATGTAAGTTTCTCTTCCTTTGTCAACTGCCATAGCATGCATGTGTAACAAACCGTCCCTTTATTATGAAATACGGGAGCCGCCACTGTTTACACAGAGTAGGGGAACTAGAAGGAGAGAGGGAGTGGGATCATTACCTTGAAGGGATTTGGTCTCTTTGCCTCAGATTCTTAACAAAATTCTGGATTGAGCTCATGCTGCAATTATAATTATAAACCATTAGGTCAGTCAGGGATCCCATGAATTTTACAAGCCGATCTGATTATCAAGATATTTATGATTTGAAATCTAAATTTCAAGAACCGTTTTTTGTTAACACTACAGTATATTTGAGAAAATGAGTATTGTTAAACCGGTCACTCAATTTTTTTTTATTTTTTGAGGCACTTCATGATCATTTTGAAGCGCAGTTTGTTTAGGGCTACGACATAACGCCATATCACAGACACTGATAACACGTAAAGCCATGCATCTCAGATTTGTGAAACTAGAAACATTGTTAAACGACGCCTTTAAGCAACAGTCTCATCTCATTTCCTTTTGGACCAATAAATTTGAATTGAATTGATCCATTAACTTTCATTATCTTACGTATGGCGGATGTAGAGAGGCAAGCCACGCCGGCGACCAACATGCACACACTGAGACTAATCCTCCGTCCTATGAACTTGATCTCGATGGCGACCACGGAGAGAAGGTAAGCAGGGATCTCGACGGCTCCTGAAACTGCGAAGGCGACGTATTCGTTGACACCGAGGTTTGAGGTGTTTAGTGATAGACCGTGGTACACCAAGGAATTCACCATCCTGATAAAGGACAACACGAAGAAGAAAAAAACTATTACTGAAGCCACATTGTAGCCAATGTCCAATAACGTTACATCATTTTGTTACAATTCATAACAAGCGTCAGAATATTTACTACTGCTGTATAAACAGCCATATAGTCCTTTATAAACACATTGTAGGCCTATATTGCTAGCCAGCCGATAATGCAATCATAGCTAGCAACTGTATTGATACTGATAATGATTACAATAACAATAATAATAATGATAATAATATAATAATAATGATGATAATGAAAATAATAATTTTCATTTACAGGCTTAGGCTAAATCAGTATCAGAAGTTCAAATTAAATTGGACAAACCAGGTAAAGATAAAATTGATGGTTCGTAGTCTCATTCGAGGCTGGCGGAATATGTCAATTCCTGTAGCTCGTCTCTCCCTTGGTGCAGCCTCCTATACGAATAATAAAGATAATGATAATAATAATGATGATAGTAATGATAATATGATCATAATAATAATGATAACATTAAAAATAATTGATATTCACTATAGTCATATTAATGATAATAATAATAGTATTGATTCTAGTAATAATAATTTACACATATCCTAAATGTAACAGAGCATAAGAGTGTCTAACTGAAAACCAATCTGAATGTGTCATGTCTGTGGTGAAAGAATTGCATGTCATAAAAAAGTGACTAGAAGCAATTCTAATTACATCACGAAGTAGATTTCTTATTAGGACTAACAGAGATTAAAAAAACGATGAAAGGTTACTGGAAATTGTTTTGTTTTCCTCCTACCACAATCGGAAATTAGCAGTTAACTTAGACTTTTATCGGGGAGGAGGTGCATTAAAGAGCCACTCAGTGCTATTGATTAGGAGAGATTGGCCAACCCGGTTCGGGTTGGACACAATAAGGCGACTACTGCTTTGTTGGGCAAGCACAAAACAAACGAATATACGCCTTGTTGTGACCCAGTGAAACCAAGTTGGCCAAACTCTGTGCATAAACGGCTCTGGAGCCGTTATGAAAACAAATACATTATTTTTGCATCGTCTGTTGGCACCACACGCAAACACAGTCACACACATACACGCGCGAACACGCACAAACCCACAACAATTTTCCAGTGTTTGTTTTGCGACACTGCTAAAGCATGTGTATGCTACTTTGCTTATCAACTAGGAGACCTACGCCCGTACGTTTATGCTCAAGTTTTTCTGGCCAGAATGAAGCATTTGTTACGCGTTTAGTTCAAAACACGGTTGCGTCCTTTCTTATTTTTTTGTAGAATCACCGAAAAACGACGATCACAATCGCCGATCGTAAACTCACGAAAAGGTGCTTTTGGATAGGCGATTCTAGGGAAGCATAAACGCACAATCATTTGTAAACGCATATAAATTGGGTTAACGTAGCATGCGCAGTGCAGGTTTGCGAATCCAGCTGCAGAGCTAGAATCATGTCTGGAGGAGCCAGAGAAGTGAGCATAAACAGTGAGCATACACCGTGGAACTGCCTTTACGATGAGCGTTTACGATGAGCGTTTACGATGAGCGTTTCAAATCGCTCATTCTGCCTTCAAAATTGAGCATTGACGCACCCTAAGTCTCAACACGGGGGACCGCCAAAGTCATTACATAGTCTCCTAATCTTCCTTCCTCCATCTCCTGCTCCTCCATCTGTTGCTCCACCCCCTCCTTTCATCATCTTGCCAGAGAGGATCCGTTTCCGTGTTAGTTGATTTCTGCATATGCCATTATTCTCTTTCCGTATTTAAGTACTTACTTGTTTCTTCTTAAAATCACTGCTGAAGAATGGACCTGAAAGGGGCTTGTCGTTCGAGTTAGCAATCTTCACTAGAGTCTTTTCCGCCTCGTCATACTTTCCCATCGATATTTGCCAACGAACCGATTCCGGAAGAAAGCTAACAGGAGAGAATAAAGACTTGCGTTGTCACAACATTGTAAGATATGGAAATATGGAGCTGTTGGCGTTTGGGTGAAGTGAAAGGTGTTAATTCCTGTGTTTTTATTTAATATAACCGCCCGGCCCCCACTCAGTGTGATTTAGGGTACGCATATGCGTGTTCCCATCGACCCCCCCTTTTTTTAGCAGTAAAAGCCCCGTGTGTAAAGTCAATATAGGTAGACCATTTTATTTTGTTACGAGCAGGAGAGTTTGGGAACACGCATTGTATCCCTCCGTTCACGGAACAAAGGAGAATAATGCTTTTCTTCAAAGCAGTCTTGAATCTAATGCAATTAGTTAACGTATCCGTGTCTTTCATGAGACTGAATGACTGAATATAAACTAAAAGGCCGTCAGCATGTGATATAGAATGCCCATTCCTTAAAGAAAACTTAACCTCAAAGAACAAGTGTAGGTATTTGTATAGAGAGATATGTTCCTGCCCTTTGTTGTACAATATTCCTTCCAAAAATATACAAGAGATATATATACATAAAGATATTCTTGGCATTATCAAGATTCAAGATTCAAAATGATGATGTCCATATATATAATACGGAAGTTTGATTTCTTTTGGTGAAACATGTAATATGGGAAACATGAGACAAGAACATGGCGTCGTGTGCTGAAAGCCATAGGGGCGTCAATACTCTATAAAGAAAACGTCTATGAGCAGCTGCGGTACTCCAGCTCTCAGCATACGACATAACAAGACAATTATATGACTTATACAAAGTAAATCAACAGCAGAGCTGTACAACGGATGTTTTCAACCCACAAAGTTGATAAGGTGGAATACTTTCCACCCAATCCTTACAAAATTATTTTACTGGGTGGGTAGAGAAAAAGTTAAGAAATAATCATAATCGCTATTACTTCGCTTACAGCTGAGGAATTTGTGTTCGTGATTTGTTTAGATGTGTATGCAATTTGGAAATTTCTGAATCTGGCTCTCTGGGTTTAATTTTTACACACCAGCGGATTCCTGATTGATTAAAAGTTAAACAAGAAACTATTGGATGTGATGCGTCTTTCATAATAGAAGATACTTTAGTCAATAAGGCAATGCCCATGTCATGCTGGGAAACTGTACATTATTCCTGCTTCATGCTTCTCTCATATACTTTGGTAGGGAATCTTGTAGATTAATGGGCAAGAATATAATAAATACCTCAGAATATGTAAAGTTCTTTTGGGGGGTTAAGGTTTCCCTTGAATCTTTTCCTCCAAACTAATTCAATGCTGATAAGTGTCATGTCCACAAAAAAAGGTAACGCCAGATAGACACCACACTACATATTTCAATATATAAAAAAGTAATGATTCTATAAATCCTCTTACAACATCAAGCCAATGTAGATAAGTGCTGGGGAGACGCAAATAAGTTCTAAAGTCCTCCAGTATGGTACGAAGTAGGCGATGCCCGCGAGGCAAACGTAGCCGAGAGCAAAAGGGATAACGAAGATAATACCGGTGACGTTACGTTTCGATGGCCCGACAAACTCGGTTCCTAGAGAACAAAGGTTAATATTAGTAGGAGGTTTGTACTATCGTTTATAACACCTCTTATATTTGTCAGGATTTTTTGTTTCTTTCTGTCTGTATATTTCTTGTGGAACAGACTTCTCAAGAATAGAAATTAGATTTTACGGTTTCAAAATAGGAACATTGGTAGACCCTATTGAGGCCTGAGCACACGTAGGTCGTTTTAATTATGTGACGTCATCTAGTGAATTAACATTAACAACATGACGTAACACTTTACGGGACTTGGTAACATTGTAAAGATTAAAGGTAATACAAAGTTTTGGGAATTTTTGGAAATTATGGAGAGTGGAGTGGAGAGTGATTCTTTACAATTTCGATATATTTGGATGCCCCTGTAGATGTATTATAAGCACTAGAAAATTTAGCCCCTAAAACATTTCTGCTTTCTAGAAAAATGGAATATAAAAATTTACCGGTGCTCCCGGTAAATTTTGATAAATTTCAAATAGCGCCTATGGCCGTACTATGGTAGCTGCGACCATGAAAATCTCAGAAAATGTAGTTGTGATATATAATTTCCAAACGGGGATAGCTGATCCGTCGATTTAAGCAAAGAAACATTGTTTTATAGCTTAATTAATATCTTGACCTTGAGAGGGAGCTATACAACATAAAGAGTTTATTATTTACAATTTAATAATTTTAGGCATGATTTCAATCGCGACAACGATCACTGAATATTGTAGGATCGCATATGCTTCCAATATGTTCATTTGAACCAAATTCATGACCCTATACCAAAACTTTGTATTACCTTTAAGAGAAAATGGTGCTATTAAAGTTAGAGACTTCAATGCTAGATGTACAATTAAAGATAATATGAAAGTTTGAGTGAAAACGGATCATTATTAACGATACAAATTGGGAACAACTGATCTGATCGATGCCTTTATAATTCTCCCAACTATATTATTACAACTTTAATTTTTATTTAAGGTGAATGTAAATCGTCACAAAACAATGAATTGGCTCTATATTCTATTCCATACATTGAACTGTTGGCAGATTTTTAAAATCTTATGTCTTAGTTTAATTTAAAAACGGTTTAGAAAATTTAAATATGGTTGCAAGAATTTACTGTTATTCACTGTTAGAGGGTGTTGCACAGTGACGCCTTCTTAGAAAACCATCAATATTTTTGTGGTTTGAGAATTTTTTCAGGATTTTTTGGCATGTTAGAGGGTACAGTAGAAGGAAGTTAATAAGTAACATTTCATACACAAATTACGCAATTTTTTTAAAGAACCTTCGACAATGTTACCAAGTCACAACAAAATTCGATATCACGACACTTAATGGGCAGCATATCAACATATCACCCGACAAATTGAAAATGCTAACAATTGTCTCAAATTACATTTGCATATTTTTTCAGGCCATTCTCAACCTTTTCAAAAAATGTGCCCTCACGCACATACGCTCGCATTTTTCAATACGTTGGTCGTATGAAAGCTAGAAACCCAGTTTTCATATATATCTGGGTT